CAAAACCCCAAAACCCCAAAACCCCAAAACCCCAAAACCCCAAAACCCCGAATTCCTCAGTATTAGCTTTTCCATAAGAAAGAATATTTTATAAGTTTTAATATAAATTTAATTGGGAATAAAGTGAACTTTCTTATCATAGCATCATCTTATATCATAGCTTTATACACTCACTTTATATATATGACAAATAAGTTTGTCATTCATAGACTTTCTAAATCATTATATAGGGATCTAGCTTTATTGGCTTGGATCAATAATGTTCACTTTTTGCTGATTGAAAAGATCTTGAATGATGCTTAGACCTTCTTAGTTTTTCCCAGATTGGATCAGCTAAGTTGCCTAGTTGAAGCGATTGATGGTATCTTATGACTTGTCGATAAAGTAGACATCCATTTGTATTTCCTTCATAAATGGCTGTCCATCAGGTCCAATTTCTTGTTGCTATATTGAAATTCCAGTGGGGATTTGGTTTTTGAAAACTCCCTATGATTGCAAACTCTTGTCATCTTAAAAGGTTTCAGGAATGTTTTGTTAGGGCATTCCAAGTCCTTGACCATAGAGACCTGTTGGGGGGATTTATCCACCCATCATGAATTCTTGTCCCATCATTTGTGGTTATTGCATATAGCCCATTCCCATCATTGAGGGATCCATTTGTGGTGGTTGCATTCCTGGCATTCCCCAGGCCATCATGTCCATTTGTGGTTGACCATAATAGGACATTGGATTGCCCATTGGGTTTGGCATTTGATTAGGTGGTCCTCCCATATAACCTCCCATTCCTGGCATTACATTTTGCATTTGTGGAACCTGCTCTCTCAATTCATTATCACCATGAGCGAAGGAACATCTACCACCATATGGGCAATTTCTTCCTAATTAAATTGTTAGTAACTAGTTTTTAAAGTAGTATTAACATCAGGCTTGATTAAATAATCAAGATAGATGAAAAAATTTACGCAATTTAAGCGAAGAGTTTAAACTTACCCTAATCAAAGAACTTGCATCTAACGGTCTTATAGTTAGCACCTTAACCACCGCTGCCTTGGTTTTGAACTTATCCTTAGGCGTGATGTTGATGTTATGGATTGAATGGTCTTGGTTGAAAGTTTCCTTGGCCACCACCATAGCCACCTCTATTGTTATTGAACTGAGGCTTCTAAAAAGGCTTTTAGTAGACTGCTTGCTTTTGAGCGACCTCCACCAACTCTGGAGCAATCGGCTATATTTAATTAAAAATCTATCGTAAAGCATGGAATTTTATGTGCGAAAATAGCTAGATTTATTGAAAAATACATACATCACTGAAAGAGCGTAGTTCATGGTCGCCATGAGCAAAATGACATTTATTGCCCATTTGGCAATTATTATGCTGCTCAAAATGTCTGCAGCGTTAAGTTTTATACTTAAGGTTTATATTAGCATTAGTATTAGTATCTATAGGATATTATGATAAGTTAGTTTATTAAAGTTATCATATTATTATATATTTTCCTACTTATAAGGTTCTACTACATGTTCTATTACATTTCCATTACTTAGTTGTCGGACTATATTCCCTATTTATTACTTTATTTATTAATAAATCAAACTTGAATTTATGGTTAAATATTCAATTTTTAGACATCTCCTAACTTGCGGGGTTTTGGGGTTTTGGGGTTTTGGGGTTTTGGGG